TTAAGGCTGATGAGGCTGGGAGGAAACGCCTCCATGGAGAGGGATGAGACAAGGGAGAGAAACACAGAGGGCACAGAGGACACAGAGGACAGTGTGTAAGGAGATTGAAGGCAGACGCTGCATTCCAGGCTCAGCGCATTCAGAAGCCATGTGAACTTGCAAACCGTGTGTAACAACTCTGTGTCCGTGAAATGTACAATTCCCCGTGTTGCCGTGAATACCCATAGTGAAGGCAAGGAATGTGCTGTGCTGGCGACCGGCCTCTAGAAAACGAGGCCCTATTACTATCGGAGTGGAAACTGGGCATTCTCCGATGATAATGGGATGATTGGGTTTTCGATTTCACAAGCATCTTTTTTAATATGATGGGTATTGGTTATCTTAATACTGTGGTCAAGAAGAGGCAAGTGGCCAGGATATGAAGTGAGATGGCATTTCTATTCATGGGTTAGGGAGTTAGGTACGTGTGGAAAAGGGAGAATTAAAAATCTGCGTGCTTTTGAAAAGAGATGGGAACATGTCCGCACCTGGCTAACTTAGGGAAACTGATCAGGGCTGTGGGTATCCGGGGAATAGCAGCTAAATCAGGGACATCAATGGAGTGCAGGGAAGATGGCTGCAGGAAAGAAAGAAAAAAAAAAATAAGAATTTCCCATCTGAGGGTAAAAAAGAGCCAGGGCCCAAAGAGAAGGTATTTAGATCCTTAGGATGTTAGAGGAAACCAGGAAACCAGTGGATTTGAAAAGAAGACCTGGGATGAATTCTCTGGGCTACTTGCTATCACTTTGCCTACCGCAAAGGTTTATTATTACATGGATTTAAATAAAACAAGGAACACCGGAAATCACACACAGTGCCTGCAGCACATGCTGTGTGCCCAGTAAATGTCGGTTCCCTTCCCGTCCCCTCTCAGCGTTGCAAGGATTCTCTTTGAACGCGTTGAGAGAAATAGCTCTGTCTTCAGACGGGGCTGCAAAGATGAACTAAGAATGTAAATCAGACAGGACTAGACAATCCTGATCTATGTGTGAACACGAGTCCAGCTGAATATAGAAGCATGAGACCTATAACTGTACGTTGCCTAATTTGCGTACGGCACCCTGACAGCCCGTGAACTAAAACAAAATAGCCTGTGCCCTTGCGACAATTCAGATGTTCCTCTGGAGGGAGCAGGGTGAAGAGGAGGGCACAGGGATCTGAATCTTTAGGTGCTGGAAGGCAGCCTTGGAGGTGTAGATGACAGATTCTGCCAAAGTGTCCCCGCCGGCCACCGGGCACAGAAAGAGGCGGTTAAATGAGCTCAGCCTCCTGTTCTGCTGCTAGACATCACGACCCATTGGCTCTCCAGATGTTTGGAAGATGCTCTTTTTGAGCCAAAATCAGCCCCTGTGTCTTCTCTGTGTCTCTGTTTTCTCATCCGTCAACTGGTTATAACAGGTTTGCCGTGAGGAGCCAGCGACCTGAGGACAAGCACATCCTGACGAAGTTCATGGATGACATGATGGGGTCTGCCTTGCTTTCTTTTCCTCTCATTCCTCCCATCCAGGTGGCCGGCAAATCCCATCTGCTTGACCTTTAAAGGGGATTTGAAACCTGACCACTTCCACCAGTGCCATCTGCCTGGCCCACACCAACATCTTCTCTCACCTGGGTTACTGGGATAAACTTCCTAAATGGTTTACAACACAGCAGCCCTGGTCCTGCCCTGAAAACCCAAGTCAGATCCTAATACCTCCCTCTATAGTCCCTCCAGTGGCTCCTGATCTGACCAGAAATAAAAGCCACAAGGCTATGTGGGGAGCATGACTGAAAGCGTGGCTCTTGGTCCCCCTTGCTTGCTATATTTTTTCTTCATATACTTCTATCCACCTATAGATTTCATGTCATTGTTTTGTCTTCTTCCACTAAAAAAAGGAGGCTGAGAAGTACATGACTTTTTGTCTATTTTATTCACTAATGAATCCACAGTGTCTAGAACAGTGTCTGACACTTTGAAGAACATCAACAAATTACTGGTAAAGTGTTGACTGAAGGAATGCGTACTCTGTCCTGTTGATGCCACACAGTATAGCGCCCTCCAAAATACCACTTGAACCAGGATGGGGGAGCTGGGCTGCTGTTTTCAGTCTTACTCCATCTCTCATAATTCTGTACTATCCTGCAGGGCCTTATGAAGCTTTTAGGCAACCAAGACACACATACATATTTAATTAATTGTTTTGTTTTAGGAAGAATTACTGTCACATTAGTACAGGAAAGAACTGGAGTCCTAGGGTACAGTGTGGGGATCAGACACCGAGGCTGTGTGGTGGTTGTGACAGAAAGTTACCACACACTACCTCACAAATCCCGTGGAGGAACCTTAAGTCCTGGGGGCTGCCCCGGGCCATGTTTCATTATGTGGATTACATTAAACACATCAGATTGAGGAAGGCTAAGATTTATACTGAGCCCGATATTATTTGTAGTAATATATTACTATATGTATGTATATGTAACATGCAGTAATATATGTAATATATAATAGTACTTTGCTATGAACATTAACAGATGCATAAGTAAATTTTTTCCAGGATGGCTGGCCAATTTTATACATACACACACACAGATATTGGTAAATAAATGAATTTTTCATATATTTGCATGTTTATATATATGCATGTATGTATGTATCTGGCTGTATTCTTTTTATAAAAAAGATTTCAGAGAAGAAGAGAGAGAGAGAACGAGCAGGAAGAGGGGCCAACAGGGAGGGACAAGCAGACTTGCACTGTGTGTGGAGCACGATGCGGAGCTTGATCCCAGGACCCTGAGATGATGACCTAAGCCGACATCAAGAGGCAGCTGCTCGACCTACTGAGCCGCTCAGGCACCCCTGTTTCTGGCTATACTCTTGACTGCAAGATAGAATTTTAAGCTTAGAAAAATGTAAACCTAAGGGTACTTCCTTCTTTCTGAAAATAACTGGATTATAGTAGAACTAGTGACTCTCTACATGTAGTAAGAATGTCCAACATTGAGTATTGCTACAAATATTTCTTGGGATCCATTGCTCCAGGCCCAGGAAACAGCAAATGTGGACTCTCTATCCCGGAGAATCTGAGTGGCATACTTGTTAAACCCTGTCTTGGGAGTTGTTGAGAGGCTCATTTGCCCACATACACATATATCGAAATGCTTTGTAAGCACTAAGTACTACATAAATTTAAAGTATTTTCTTTTTTGAATAAATTCAACCAACTTACATTTTGGACAAACCAGTCAAGCCTATAGGTAAATTAATCCATTCTTCATATTTTCAGTGGAGCCCCAGCTATTTAAACATTATATTCAAAGCATCAGGAGTAATAAAATAACAAGAAAAAGAACCCCTGTTAGCACTTCCCACTGTATATGAAGTGAACAGAAACGTGATCGAGTACTGACATTCATTTCACTTCGAATTAAACACAGCATCACCGCAAGTCCCAAGAGATGATATTAAGTTTTGTGTTTGGGTAATACCAGGAATTCTACAGGCAAGGCTAGAATTATATTTGGTTGGCAAGAAGCCAATCAAACTTCACACTTGTTTTAGAAGTAGGTGGTCAAAAACTCTGTTCTTGTCATCAAAAGCTGTTGTCTTCAGTTGCTTAAACTATCTGAATCTCGACATCTCTCGGGTCCCTGATCTTGAAGATAAAGCATTAAGAAATGAGATAAAATGAGGTCTCGTGAAAATGACATTAAGTTGAAATTAACCTGAGGGAAAAGCAGGTCCAATCAGACAGAGCCAATCAAATGGACACAAAGAATAGAACCGATTTTCCAAGTGGCATCTTCAGACATATACGGTCTTGGATTTTATTTCTTCAGGGAAAAAGGGCTCAAACCAAGGTAGGGAGGAGGTGCATTCATAGCTTTCTCTCTGTTTTCCTCAAAATACATGCTGTAAACCTGCTAGAGTTCACAGTACATGTTTCAAAAGCGGCCTTCACTTTTGGTGGAAGGAAATACTTGTTCCTTGATATGTCTGGTTTCGCTGTAATAGTATATAATGCCTCTCTCTAATAAATTTAACCACAAAATTTTTTTCTTAAAGTGTGTCTGCATTCTGCTAATTTATAAAAAGCAGGATGCTGTCAGATAAAATTTCATGAAAATGATCTATAAACCAGACTGTCAAAAGTGAAAGGTACTCAGGCGGTACTTAGGGGCAACAAATCCATGGAAACCACTGGAAAGCTTTCCTGAGGCTGCAGGACAACAGTGTAGGAACGGAGCTCACATTTCCTTGATTTGCAAGTTACTGTGAGGTCACAGGAAATCCTGAAATGTTTTCCACATTTTCTTTTATACATTTTATGTCAAATTTCCTACAATTGAAATCATAAACCTTCCTACTGCTGGAATCTCTTCTGAAGGAAAGGAGATCTTGTGACACTCCCCCATGAACACCTAATAACTCAATTCCTACCCGTGTAACAAGAAACTGACAGACAGGATTGAAAATGGACTGTGATAAGGCCGCACCGTCAGATGCCCTAACTCGTTCAAAATGAAAACCAAACTGGTATCATTTAAGAAGACTCTCAGAAAGTACATTTAATCCAGCAACAGTAGACTTTTCTTTAGAATAAGAGATAACGGAAGAAATGATAGACTGTCCCAAAGACTTAAGCTTGCCATTTCCCCAGATTGCTTCTCCAAAATGTATCTGTGGATTTACAGTCTAATTTTAAAATGGCATCTTCTGGGTAGAGATTCTTAACATGATTCAAGCCCCCGATGACCATATTTTATGGTTCTAGCTATGCTTATGAAAGGATAAGTCAGATTTAAGTAAAATGTCCAAGTGTAAAATAGTCCCTCAAGATTTATCACTTGCAACCGTGGAGTTTAAGAATAGCTTTTAAATGATCAAATACTATTTTGACATAAATCCAAGCTGAACAATTAGGGCTCACTAATGAATACCAATTTTCCAGATTTGTCTGTCATGAGTGACGGGGACACCTTACCTCTCCTGACATATCGGGAGCCATCGGAACGGCAGGCCACAGAGACGAGTAGATGCCAAAAAACACCACCCAGAGTGCGATGCTGCCCCAAATCGCTATGTGGCTGAACTGTGAAGGAAGGGAAAGTGAGACACGAGACTTTCAGGGAGACTGAGTGTACACGCACACAGCTGCTGCAAATGCCCTTATTACTTTTTTACGACAACATAAAATATTCTTTCTAGGAATTTCTGAATAATGATGCATGTGTATTTTAACAGGATGTTTCATCGGTGCTAATGCTAGTGTCTTCCCCAACAGCTAGGATGTTTGCCGGACTGGCATTTCCAACTCTTCCCTCTCTACCTCCTTTGGGGGCCTCTCTCCTCTGAGTCTCCTCTTTTTTTTTTTTTAATCTGCTACCATCTTTAACCTCCTTTATTTCTGCTTTGCGCAGTCTCACCTGAAGAGGCTAGATACCACCTGTGAGAACGCCACCTGGATGTCGGGACTGTCCGATCCACGTTTCGTGGGCCCATCTTTCCCCTGCGCATCAAACTTTCATTTCCTTTTGTTTCCTTGATCTCTCTTCCCGGATGTGAGTCTACTTCAGAACTAATGTTCTAAAATGGAACTTGTTTTATCCTGACTGGATATTTAGAAACGTCCGAGGACAAATCTTTCGCTCATATCGCAGGTTTTTCGAAATCATTTTCCAATGGGTTTTCTGTGGAATGTGTCTTGTGACATGCTCTACTAAGTAAGGTTCTTAGTCAAGTTTTGGAAGCCTCTCTCCCTCCTGGGATAGTCACAATAATATATTAAAGGTTCTGAAAATCTTGTGGTCCATAAACTCATGTGAGTTTTTTTTTTTTTTTTTTACTTGCTGTTTCCAAACTGGACACACTAGAATTCCTGGTTCTTCCCCCTCCACCCAAGACCCCTCACAATGAACAATCCACGGAACAAGGGTACAGGGATACATAAAGGAAGAATGAAGAATGACAATGTTCGTGATAACACGTAAGTAAGTGAGACATGCCTCGGTTGTGGTTGGAGATGCTCTTACCCATGTCCAATATGACGTCTCCAATCCGGCTTTCAGACACACAGTTATCACCACAAACTAAAACAGAACGGAAAATGTTATGTTATTTCATAAATGTGTTAATTCAAATGGCTAAAAGGGAGGTTTATAAAGACCAGGCGTTACACAGTGAATGAGACTATGGGACTGGTCGATGACTCAGCTTGCTTTGTATGTCCATCTTGCAACGACACAGGTGAATGAGCCGGGTGCCTGCCCATGATGGCCGTGACCGGTCAGAAGGGCCCAGAGCAGCATCCTACCATCGCTCTCCTCCCCTGCACACCTTCCCAGTCCATCCACAAGGCTTCTGTGGATTCATTTCTGAAGGATGAGTGCACGTCTGCAGTAACTTGGATTTTCAAGCTTGCTTCAATTGTCTATCATCTGTAATACTTAAAGCCCCTACTTTCCAAATGTTAAGGATAAATCCTAAAAGTAGTATAGCTGGATATTTAGAAACCTAAACACTTACTCTGTAACTTGACTTACCTAACAACCCTACAGATCATGATATAAAAGCCTGTTAATACCCTCCAGGATGTACACACCCATTACCGTTGCTGACGCTGCTGCTAATTTGGAAGTAAGGGCACTAGGTTTAATGAACGGCCCTGGGTTTTCCAGAGGGTAGGGCCACAGTTAACTGGACTTGCCCTGGAGTCAGACTGTTCGCGGTCAAGGCTCCACCATTTATTAGGTGTTTTGGTTAAGGAACAAAGTGAGTGACTTGATATCTGTGTCTCAGCTTCTTCATCTGTAATCTGGGCCTGGTAATGATCCCCTGCCTCAGAGGGCAGGGAGTATAAAACACAAGAACAGTGCATAGCACTGTAATCTGTTAGTAGCTATTTATAATTAAAAATAAAATTTCAAATACTGTTAGTAGTCAACGGAATTCTAGCCACTTCCGGTAGTTGGCAGTGGTGAGAAGCAGGCCTAGCACGGCTGGGCGATAGGCGCTTGCGTGCCTTGTTCTAGTTCAGGTTTGCAAAGAGCATTAGGGCCTTCCCCATGGGATCAGAGAATCAGGCTCAGGGATGGCATTTGGGCTTTCTCAGCAAGATCTCTAAAGGCAATTTAGGATTAATTCTGTAGAAGTTAAACTCTTGTGAGAATGTAAGTACTCATTAACAAGCTAAAAAGAAGTTCAAAACTAAGAGATACAGTGTGACATAAAATTAATAAAATTAATTTGACATAAAATTAATACTCCTGAGACCAGAGTATTTTAACGTGTCCTAAGAGACATCACTGCTCTATACTTCGATTAATTTCTAAACTGACTCTATCTAGTACTTATTTCTGTTTTACACTCACGTTGCAGACCAAGTCACCAGCCCTCCAAACATATTTTTCCTTTCTGCTACTACTTCCGTGGGTTGAGTCAAAGGAAAGGAGAACCCCTAGAAAATAACTTGATCCCTCTGTTATTTAATGGCCTCAATGTCCCATCATTCAGTAATTTAAACACTTGATATTTAAATACCATATTATGGTTTTTCTCCCAACTAAGTCAGCCATGCTGACAGCCGCTTATTATCTGGAGCAGCTCCCCAATCTCCCTCGGGGGGCACAGAGAGGGACACAGAATCAGAGGAAGGAACCCTGGCCTGAGGATTCAGTGTTGAAGGTTGTAGTAAGCTTATCAGACACCAACTACGTGACCTCGGGCCTTAGCATCCAAGTAGTGCCTTTTTTCTAAGGGAAAAGTGGTCTTAAGACATTTTTTGGCCCTTTATGGCAGGAACGGGCTTGCACTCATGTGTGTGTCCTCTGTAAGTGTTTGGATAGTGACATAACACAGTGGTTTCCACGCCTTCTGTGGATGGAATGTCCCCAAAGAGTAAATGTCTCCCATTTTAGTTATTGTGAGACTCTAGAATCATTACTGGTTAAACATCCAAGAACAGTATGATAATATTTGCCATAAATTCAGGAAAGCCAAAAAAAAATTAGTATTAGCAATTAAATTAGCAATTAAATTAATTAGCAATTAAAAAAAAGTATTAGCAAGGGCAGTAAAATAAAAATGAAGAAAAAGACAAGGAAGAGAGAAAGGGGAAATGGGGGGGTGCTAAGAGGAAGGAGGGAATGCTAAAAATAATAGCAACAAAAGTCCTATCAAGTCAGTGAGTCTAAGTGACTTATTAATAACCTAATATAATCTCTTAATAGTCAAAACATTTTATTTCATTTTTAAAGGGCAGTGCAAACAACCCTATGTTCAGAAATGCACATGGTTAAATTTGACAATAAAATGAACACAAATGAAAGGATTGATTTTATATACAAACTAGGCAAATGCTCTGTACTCACCGTGTAAACAAAGTTTCCCAACAGCAGATAATCAGAGGTCTTCCCATTTCCAAATACATTACCTGCATGACAAGAAGAGAGGCTCATTAGAAATGGAAACCAAGGGGCGCCTGGGTGGCTCAGTGGGTTAAAACCTCTGCCTTTGGCTCGGGTCATGATCCCTGGGTCCTGGGATCGAGCCCCGCATTGGGCTCTCTGCTCAGCATGGAGCCTGCTTCCTCCTCTCTCTCTCTGCCTGCCTCTCTGCCTACTTGTGATCTCTGTCAAATAAATAAATAAAATCTTAAAAAAAAAAAAAAAAAGAAATGGAAACCAAAGAGATCCTTTCAGAATTCTTTCAGAGATAAATCAACTTATAATCGTTGAACAAAAGAAGGAGAACCAAGTGTCACACCATGGAATCAAACGAGGCTAATTAAAGAAAAAATTATAAGAAGTCTCACAAAGTTGCTATAAATGTGGGTCACAAATTAAAAACAATTTCCAATAACCAACATGAAGGAGGAAACCTGACTTGTTAACAATTCTTAGGATCCATGAGTGAGAACAAAATAAACAAAACCAATTGTTCAAGTAAAGCCTAATTCTATGGGTATTTGAGAAAGGAGGAAACATCCCGAACTTTAATAAAGAACTTTGCTAACAATATAGATGAGGGTCTCTGGGAGACTTCTTACTTTCTCTCAATGAAGTTGTTGGCATCAGACCAAAAGGGATTCATAAATGCAAATCACAGAAGACTGAAGGGCACCAATATGGTTCCAGGCATATGGCTCATAGAAAGTTTGGCTGAATTAAGGCACATATTTTGAAGTATTTTGTTATCCAGCAATGACTAAGAACTGTGGGTTTACATGAAGGGTGTGGTAGCTAACAAAAAATCATGATTACTGATAAAAAGATAAAAAATTAAAAATAACTGAATAATGAAATCTTTGGCACCACGGAAAAATTTAAAACCCATGGCATATGCAGTACAATATCTTATGCAAATATTCAACAATTCAACAATATTTATTCAAAATCTCATATGTAAGGACAAACTATGTTAGAATAAAGTATGGGACGAGACAGGCAGAGGGGTGCCGGTATGAAGAGAAGGAACAGTCCATTAAGTTTGGGAGACACAGACCAGGCTTGGTTCTGTGACTAGTTGTGTCATGTTGGTTTATAACCAATCTCCAAGGGAACTCAGTTTCTTCACTTAAAAGATGGAGTGTAACTACCTACGCCCTGGAGGGGTTTTGATATTAAAATGAGACTTCCCATGGGAGACGCCAAGCACAGTGTTCCAGTGCTGACACGGGTGCACACGTTGCAGACACTCCAGTATGTGACCTTACCCCACTCTAGAGTTTTTGGTTTGAAGAAGGGCTGGTAAGCAGTAATCTAGGAGACTCCTCTGTAGTGGTATTCCCCGATTAAGGATACAGGATTTGATGTGCTATGTCTTTTTTTTTTTTTTTTTTTAAGATTTTATTTATTTGAGAGAGTGAGTGAGAAGGGGACGAGGGGCAGAGGGGGAAGGAGAGGAAGAAGGAAAGAATCCCAAGCAGAGTCAGTACAGAGCCCGACATGGGACTTGGTCCCACGACCCTGAGATCATGACCTGAGCTGAAACCAAGAGTCAGATGCTCAACGGACTGAGTCTCAGCTGCGCCTAGAGGTACTGTATCTTCTGAATACACTGTTTATAAACTCGTGTCTGCCATGACTCTGCAAACTTCTATACAACCAAACTAACATACTCAGAAATCTACGAAATAACTGAAGGTATCTCATGATCACGTCCTGACTTCCATGCTTTTACGCTGGTCCTTTAGCCAGTGTATAAAGGTTATCAAAAATAATCACATTTGGGTCCAGGGAAGCCTTCTGGTCATGACTGGTTCAACATGAAGAAGTCAAAGATTCATTTCAAGGTCACGTAGAGAAAGAAACAAAAGAGCCTACTGTAGGGAATGTCAGAGTCAGCATTTGCATGACTCAGGTAAACCATTCATTCTCATACTTTCTGGTCTCTAGCCTCCTTTACACTTATGAAATTATTGATGATCTCCAAAAACTTCTGTTTATGTGGTTTATATCTATCGATATTTACCAAGCTATAAAATAAGGCAGAATATTAAAAAATATATACTGATTTATCTAAATAGTAAAAAACTCCATCCATAGAATATAAACGGATTTTATAAGTAGTATTTGCCCCAACAAAAAAGGTTAGTGAGGAAATTGGCCTTGTTTTCTATTTTTTTTTTTTTTTTTTTGTCAGAGAGAGAGGGAGAGAGAGCGAGTGCAGGCAGACAGAATGGCAGGCAGAGGCAGAGGGAGAAGCAGGCTCCCTGCTGAGCAAGGAGCCCGATGCGGGACTCGATCCCAGGACGCTGGGATCATGACCTGAGCCGAAGGCAGCTGCTTAACCAACTGAGCCACCCAGGCGTCCCCTTGTTTTCTATTTTTATAATCTCTTTAATGTCTTGCTCAAGAGAAGGAAGCTGGATTCTGATATGCTGGTTGAGATATAGAAGGAAAATTCAACTTCACAGAGAGATGGAGTTATAACAGAGGAGTGTTTTAATAATCTTTTCTCCCGAGTGTGGCTACTTTGAAACTACATCAAAAGTCGACAAGTAGTTTCTTAGAGGTTCGTTACAGTGTGGAGCCTGAAATTGTACCATGAAGTTACAGTACTCTATTACACTGAAACCAATGGCTCCCCCTGATGCTTTGGGTGGGCCTTCAAGTCATGCAGGATTCTTTCTTTCTTTCTTTCTTTTTTTAAAGATTTTATTTAGTTATTTATTTGTCAGAGAGAGGGAAAGAGCACAAGCAGGCAGAGTGGTAGGCAGAGGCAGAGATAGAAGCAGGCTCCTTGCCGAGGAGCGGAACTCAATGCCAGGATCCTGGGATCATGACCTGAGCCTAAGGCAGTGAGTGGCTTAACCAACTGAGCCAACCTGGCAACCCTTAGGCAGGATTCTGTAACCTCATGACAGCAGTTGGTGCAGGTCACAACTCAAATGGTCCACAGGGCATCCTGCCTGGTACGACTCTCACTGGCGTTCAGAAAGGCTTTCTGTTCATTTCCCCTTGTGTAACACAGAATATTCATGAGATATGCACCAGGTTTCAAGATGGAACAGAAGTCTTAGTTTGACAGCTTCTTCGAGGACATTCTTAAGTGACACTGACTTTTGTTGTTGCTTCTTTAATTGGGTGCATGGCAGGGAAGACTATCATGTCCACGAAGGTATTGGAACCACTATTTGTGCCAAGGCACCAGCAATTTTACCCACCCTTGCTTTTGTATCAGCCACAAGACAAAAAAATAATGTCTGGATAGTACTATGCAAATTTTGAAATTTTGACCTCAGGTACCCTAAGAAGGTCATCATGGATATTTCTGAAGGTGACTACAGGCCATACTTTGGGAACCACTGAAGCGAGTGAATTAATGCATGTTTAGCTGTACTTTATATACTCATACATTTCTTGTGTACCCCCCCAAAAAAAGCCAAAAAAAAGTGTAAGCAAAAAAAAAAAAAAAATGCAAAACCTCTACTTATTTAAAAATTAAAAACAAGGCAAAGAAAACCCAATAAACCCCTCAACATTAGAATGTTAGAATGTAATTTATCCCACACCCCATACATGTCTTAAGAAGAGAGACCACGTGTGCTCTGGACTGGGCTGGATTTGGGTTCTACAGGCGGCACATTTCATAAACTGCCCCCGGCTGAAGGTGGCGAACTTGGGCAGTTTCCCAGACAAAAGCAAAGAGAGCCCCAGGATCCGCTCTCCAGGAGCTGGAGTCACTTGGGAATTCCTTTCAAACCCTGTCACCGTCATGGTGTTTTACGCGCTATTTGGCTGGAAAGACTTTTGATATTGAATTTCTTTTTTCCAGTTTAGAATGTTGAAACACAGCAAGCAATGGACATGCCTCGTCTTTCATACCTATATTGATTTTGCAATCTGAAAATAAACCTTACCTAGAGAAATTGTCTAAGGTCCCATATTATACCCTAGAGTTCAATATCCCATGGCTTCGAAGAGCGGAAACCATCTAAATGTCCCTCAACAGAGGAATGGATAATGAAAATGTGGAAAACCCATACGAGGGAGTATCACTCATCCGTAAGAAGGAGTGAGGTACTGATTCATGCTGCAGCAACATGGATGAACCAAGGCCACATATGACATGATTCCATTCTTATGAAACATCCAGAAGAGGCAAATTCACAGACAACAATTACTGGTTTCCAGGGACTTGGGGTGAGGAGTGATGGGGAGTAACTGCTAATGGGTGTGGGGCTTCTTTATGGAGTAATGGAAATGTTCTGGCATTGGATCGTGGTGAATTGGTACAATTCTCTGAATATACTAAAAAACCCACTGAATTATATAATTTTAAAAGGGTGAATTTAACCGCATGTGAATTATAGCTCCAAAAAAAAAAAAAAATCCATTGTGGTTCTCTTGGTCTATTGAAGTCAACAGGCTGTGTTTTAATTGGATTTTTCTTACTACTCATTTCCATGGCTTAGAACATGAGAAGTATTTAGTGTACCAGGAGAGAAATTATTAAGGAAATGAGATGAAAATCTCTGATTCGGACATGAAGGGCCCGCCCTCCCTGTAACACTCACCCCACGCAGGCCCCATGACCCCATTAACTCAGTGACGGGTTCCCAAGCGCTAATGACTAGCTAGGCTCTGTTCTAAGTCCTGCAAATACAATGCTGAACTACACTGTTCTCTGCTCTTCAGGAGCTTTGATACTGACGGGGAGAGAGAATAAAAACTGAGCAAATGCATCACACCCTGATAGGTAAAGATATCGTAAAGAAGATGAAGGATAATGAGGGGAAGACATGGGAGCAGAGGAGGGCCGTGAAGGTGGCTCTCTGGGAGCACAAGCCTCAGGGGTTGAGGGGGAGAGCTGGTGGGACTCCCTGGAGGAGGAGGAGGAAGGAAGATGTGTAGGCAAGTAGCAGGCTGGAGCACCGAGGGGACAGAGGGTTGGGGGCTGGAGTGGGATGGGACATGGCACAGGTGGCAGGATTAACCACGGTGAGGGCTGTGCATTTCTTTCTAAACTTGACAGCGAGAGGCACCCGGTCTGATTTACATTTTGCAAAGACCACCTTGCAGAATAGACTGTAGGTCGGCAAGAAGGGACAGACAGCACACTCCTCTGTGGGCCGTCGTTAACTCACAGCCAGGGGAGGTAAGGGCCGGGACTTCTAAAGGACACAAAGATCCTCCGGCAGGGCATGTGCCCTGTGTTTAATTCCTGTAGTTTGGGAGCAGAGGCATGGAGCAGCCGGCTGCCTTCCTCAGGATTTCAGGGGAAGGTCGGCTCAGGTGACCCAGCATCCCAGGAAATCTCTTTTGTTGAGTGGCTACTAGATCATTTTTATGGGCATAGGAAATTCACCGTGCTTCCCTCTCTCAAGACTAACAGAGTAAAATCACTCCCTCAAAACAAGCAGAGGGAAAGCTTGCTCTCCAAGATGAACCTAAAAACATATTAAAAAACCTCCTTCAAAATATCGGCTCACGCGTACTTGAAAACACAAGCATTTCTGATCAGGTTCAGTATAAAGAGTTTGGTGCAAGCCTCATACGTGTGATAAATGGACCACATAAAATATTAGCACTATTGTCTTCAAACTATACATCAGCGGAGGGGGGGAAAAGGAGTCCTAAAATTTAACTCTCTGCAAGTTTGGAAAACATGAGAAGTGGGGAAGAAAGGCTTTGCATATATTAAATCACTTTGCTCCCAAAGGAATAATAAAAATCTTTAGAGTGTGTACAGCTTTTGGATGCATGTATTTTAGGTTAAGGAAAACAGCATAAAATGAAACTGCTATAATTTTTAACCTATATTGACAATGAGTTATTTTTCTAAAAACGTAAAAAGTCATCTCTTAGCATTCATATCCTTTCTACTTACCATACTGAAGGGCTTTTAGTGGAAACCAGAACAGAATAACTGAGTGGAAGAGGCCATTTAAACAATGAACCCAGAAAACCTGAGGGAAAACAAAAATCCATGAGAACCATTTGCGATAAACTAGCTCCGTGAACTCTGACCTTTCTTTTTATCTGTGAGCTAGATTCACAAAACGTGTTTCTGTCGGGCCACCACTGTGAATTAATAGAACTGACAGACACTTTCTGCCTCTTAGACCTTCATGGGTCATTTATTTATTTTTATGTTTCTCAAAATGTTTTTTCAGCTTCACTGAATTTTTTTTTTTTTTTTTTTTTTTTTTTTGCTTTTTAAAGACCAAATATTAAAAGTTTAAATTTCTACCTGGAAAAGAAAATAACAGTTAAAAGAAATGTAGGTAGGTGCTGCAATTCTTTAGGTGGGACTATTTTCATAATTCTCGAAGAATAGACTTTTGAAAAGACTGTAATTTAGTGAAACCCTTACTTTCTGTTTCCCATGTGCAGTAAAAGTGTACACTTTTTCAATGGTAAGAATCTAATGCATTCTTTCTCTCTCTCTCCCCCCCCACCTCTCTCCACACACACACACGTATTACATACCAAAAATAACAGGTATACCATTTAAGTCATATAATTTCTTAAAGTAACGTTGCTATCACTGAATGAATTTACAAAAGGCTTCCACAATTTTAAACGCCAATCAACATGGGACTTCCTACAATTATAACATCACTGAATAGTTATTCCGTTTCTGTATCTATTGTATTTTAAAAGCAAGGGCGCATGTATTGCTGGTCTTTTCTTTGTAGCAGGGATGTGAAAGATTAAGTTATCGAAAACCTGTTTAGGATTTGAAGAGCTGTGGCTTTGTCATTTAAAAGTGCTTCTCGCAAGCAAAACTTATGCTAAATAAAATTGGCATGTATTAATAGTCTGAAGCTGTTCCAACAACAGAAATTAAGTTGCCTGCCTCCCAAAATTTTCCACCGTGATCTCAATCTCCTTTGTTGGTTGGCCGAGCCACACTGGATTGTATGATCTAATTTACGCTCCAATACGTTACACATTTGAACTTGTGTTACTCATTAACCTTTGTCTCTTCTCCTCACTATGTCATTACCACAAGTTTTTATTTGACAGAAAGCACAGGTGGGTGCAAGAAAAATTAGTTCTACTTTTCCATTTTCTTGACCGATACTTATTGTCACATGCTAATCCTTTAACCCCTGTCAGGACCTCAGAACCTCCGACCCTTTTTACCATAACAAACGTAATCATCATCATTCAAGGCAACAATACTTCTACACTGGGGACCCACGGCAACTGCTGTGTAGACAACTATGCATTTTGTCGCCATTTGTCCCTGAATTTTAAAACACTTAGAAGGGATTTAATCGAAGATTTTTCACTGAAATCATTAGAAAATCCACATGGTTATGAAAAAATGGTTGGCAACTTATGTATAAATATTCAAAGGATAGAGAAGTTGCATAATCCTTTTGGGCTGATCTGATGACTTTTCAAAACACATGGGCTCCGCAGATAATGAAATACTTTGTAAACAATAAAAGAACAGCAAAGGACACAAGGAATGCTGCTTACACAGCAAAACAACAGGCTGCCTTTTCCTTGGCCCCAAGACTGTCCAAGCTGCCATGTGCAAAGGGTATGAAAAGATGTGACTTTCCAGGAATGGCTCTGGATAATCCTGCGAGGATCAATTTATGTTTATAAGCAAGACTACCATGGCCAAGTCTGTGGCTGGGAAGTTAATTCTTGAGAGAGCATTGTGGAGCCCGAGCTATGGTAGACTGGATACTTGTGGCTTTGATACAACTGTCCAGGTCAGTGAGAATTACTGTGAGTATGCCAGTAGGCCTGGAACTTTCTCAGCTCTCAAATCACCTTTTCAGGAAAACAAGAGCTCACAGTCCATTGTATCTGTCTGGACTGTGTCTCACGATCCCTTGAAAATACCAAACACAGATAACAAAAAACATTACAGCAAAGTGGTGCAATTTAATACAAACTAGACGTCATAAATAAGTGTCAAAACATCCCCAAATAAAACCTTAAAAAATAAAAGATAATATGCACAGATATTGCATATTGTAACTACTAATTGTTTTAAGAGACCATTAAAAATAGTTTTCAGAACGAATGGTCTAAGATATTTCTCAGGGTTTTTTTTTATTATTATTTTTTTAATTAACCAAGTTCAGTTATTTAAAACAATGCTGACAAGTTGCGTGTGCACCCCTGGGCACGCATGCACGGTGAGGTCAGGAAGACGTCGTCTCAGAAGACGAATAACATCAAGGCTATCAACCAGGCGCTGTCATTTACAGCTTTGAGGAGCTGAAGCACCTGTCTGCTTTATTATCTTGGTACACTGAGAAAAAACATCAGCTGAGAGCTTTGAAAATTAATACACATTAAAAATATCCTACTGTCCTAAATTTGAAGCACTGATTACATCTGATGATTAGTAACATGTTAATAAAAATGCACTCTATGAGATGGGAAAAGTTCGGGGAAGGTGTACTCTGTTGCTTTTATTATAGTTTCAAAATGTCATTTGTTTTGACTGTAATAAAATTAACCATTTTTCTCCTTCTGAACAGAAACCTGAATTACTAAAAAGTGCCCGTGGAAAGACTTCAGAATCTAAACTTGGAGGAAAATGAGATGTTTTTGTTGTTGGGGGTGAATAAATACCAGGGACCCTGAGGCATGACAAATAGTCCACAGTGTGTTATGTAGGATACAAACTCAGAATGTGCTTTTAGATAAAATGTTAGATATTTTATCTTGTATTTAAAATCTGATGGGTTGGAAATACTGAGTGTTATGACTAAATGAGTTACAGACCAGAGAGTATAATGCAATCTAATATTCTAATGAGGTCAAAATGATTTCACAAAACAAAAAATTAATGAAGAAGGAGATGCCCTCCCACCCCACTCCACCCCCACCACTTTATACATGTAAAGACAGAGCTTGTCAGTCCCGCAAGACTGACTCCTGCGAGGAGTGAGCCTTTCCCCACAATACTGCAAAGATAGAAAGTCCGAGGGCCAAAAGGACACTCATGTCTGTCTTTTGGCCCCAATTTACTGCTGCCTGGCAAACCCTAGTGAACTGTGGTTATGCATTAATTTTTATAAGAAAACAAACAAATAAAAACCCTTCTGAGTCCCCATTGGACGGAACCTTCGGCCAGTATGACTTGCCACGGTCAGAGCCCTGGAATTTGTTTCCTCGGCTTTGGAAGACCAGATGCCCCATGGAATTAAAACAGTGAAGCGAGTCCCACTGCCCGCCACAGACATGCCGGGCCAGCGTGTCCTACCTTGGTGTTGAAGTCCAGGGCATTCTGAGACGTTTTGTATAATTCAGGATACTTCAACATATTCTCTTTTCTGCATGATCTCTCAAATATTCCGAGAGTTAAGGGAGGCATTGCTGTAAACATCTGAAGGGCACACAATGGTCATTATTCCAAGCAGCCTAATGTAGGCAGAACCTTTATCTCCAAGTGTTTAATAAAACAGGAAGAATCAAATGTCTGAAACTCACCACATTATAAAGACCGATACACCATCTCTCGAAGAGGATCTGCCCAGAAAAGCCATTAACAAAGGCAAACCAGATCTAGGAAGAAAACAACCCCAAGGTTGTTAGGACACCAAAAAACAAACAAACAAACAAACAAACAAAACCATAAATGCATTGCTTAGAATCCCAAAACTCAACCTCTACATAATGGCAGTATTAGCATAGGATTTTCACAACTTTCTTGGAAATGGCATGTCTCTGTTCTGCTTTCGAATTTGAAGGGATCCTTTCAGAAGGTATTTGTTATTTCAGGCAGAATTAGTTTCAGTCAAAAAAGAATCATATTATTAGGCAATCAATCATACATTTAAAAAAATGAAATATAACCTCATTTTCTGGAAGGCAGTTTAGGGAATATATTTTGGCATTATAGTTTTAGAGCTTTAATTCCTTTTTAAAAGATTTATCTCTTGGTAATTAAAGAGATAAGTATCTCTTGGTAATTAAAGAGATAAACTATTGTTTTGATTATATGAAATAACACATTTGTTTGGAAAACGAAATTATTTCCTCCAATAATATAATCATAGTTTTCTTCTGTGTTGGCTGCGTTCATATAGGTCATTTATATACACTCACGAATTTAACTTACTGGAAACCTACTGTACATAGTGTCATGTCCTGACCTTTTCCCTCTTAACATTACATAATATACATTTTATTAAGTGTTATATATCCCTTAGAATGAAATTATAGATGTATATCCTCTACAGTGTGACTATAACTACTTTGGGATACTTAGCTTGCTTCCAGTTTTTGCCTTTATACATAATTCAGAACTAAATATTCTTGTAGAGAAATCCTATGCATCTCTCTTTTCTAAGGGTGGATTATTATTATTTTTTCTTGGTAAATAAAAGATTTATTAAGGTATAATTGATATACAAGAGACTGCACACAGTTAACATATACCATTTGGTAAGTTTGGACATATGTGTACACTTGTGAAACTGTCACTGTAAGGAAGGTAATATACATATCCATCACCTCCAAAAATTTCTTGTGTACCCCCCAAAGATAATTATTCGAAGTAGAATTAATGGATTAAAGTTTATAAACCTTTAAAGTGTTTCTTGATCATTACAGTCATCTGGAAGTGAAATTTGAATTTATATATTAAAAATACTCGGTCACTGGAATTTATGCTTTGATTAAGCATAAATCTTCAAGTAATAAAGCATCGTGTTCTTCTGTATTTTGAAATTCTCTTCAAAACAGCAGTCTTAACTTTGGATACAAAATGAAAGGCAATAAAAAAAAATGAAAACAACTTTCTCTAACATGCTTAAGACAAATGCAAAATTAAAGTGAGTATTAGTAAGTCAGGAATACGTAGATTATTTTTAGGAAAGCCGATCTAAATGTAATTAAAAATCAAGTAGACCTGGAAGAGTAAAAAGTCTAGCCCTGCAAGGAGATTACTACTTGAACACATATACAAAACCAAAGCATAACAACAACAAAACCTGTTGGAGGACAGCAGTCTTGATGTGCCAGTCAAGTGAATTTCTGAATCAGAGGTGCAGGGACTTTGCTACACTTCACGTTTCATTTAACCTCATTATGGAAGCATGAATTGCTACAAATTCACCATTTATCAATATGTACCCAGGCTGGCCTCTCTATGAACAGCTTCTGTATCCACATTGATCTTTTTCCTTTTTATCATGGAAAGGAATGATTGAGCATATATAAAACAAATGTCTGCTTCATGAGATGGAAAAGAAAACAAAGCAGCAATAGCACATGAAAAATAAGTCCGAACTGTGTTCAGGTTGTAACACACATTACCAGCAACCATTATAGAAGCACAGGAATCGGGAGTCAGATCTGAAATTCCTGCTTGCTTTCCTCCATCTATTTACAGAAAAAAATCGAACATTTGCCCTAGACTAGGAGCTAGGTCATTCATTTCTGCATGCTTTAAAAAAACTTGGCATGTTTATAAGAAGTTAAGTTTATTCCTTAGGGTGGTGCTGCCGACTTTATTTATTTATTTATTTATTTTAAGCAGAAGAAGATACAAGGTGACAAGATGGGCTTTAATGCTCTCTGTTGTGTTTTCACTTTTTCAGATGTGCATTATGTAAACACGTATTTGTGATACTCCCGGTTGATGGTAATGTTCTCCCTGAAGGGGACTGTGACTTATTGCAGCAACACATGCAAAGAACCTCTTTGAGCTATCTTAGTGTATGATGGAAATACGTGGAATTTTTAAACACAAAGGTTCAAATTATGGCCTCACTCATCTATGAAGATGTGGTCCAGTCATGGTTGGTCTGAAAAAGAGATGCATACCAAATTATCTAATGGATAGGACTTGGTTCAAAAGGTTATAGCCATAAATGTATCTGCAGTCACCAATGGTATATACAATGAGAAAGTTATGTTAAATTTGTGTGTGAGTGAACATTTGTAAATGTGAATGGTGTCCTAGCTTTGTATGTAACATTTGGTGCGGATTCAAATATCACTACGAGCTTGAAATTTAAGAACCTCCCTCAAATCAAGTAATATTTATAGGAAGCTTAACATTTAAAATAGTTTGCAAATAAATGAATACATTTTCATTCAAAGTTCATTTAAAAATGCCTAATTGAATTGCCTTATGAAAGAAATGCAGGAATTTTTAAGTGGAAATCTATCACCACATTTTTAACTTTTTACTTCTCCTATTGAAAGGTACGTGAACATGTTTTTATAAATTGTCTTCCTACATTAAACAATTCTTACTCTAATTTCATTTTTTAAAAGAGGAGACATGACTAGAATATGAACAGAATCCTTCAGTACAGTACCCTACACCTTTACACAAATATTTTGACATTCAAGTTTATATATTTTAGAGGAGAAAAAGTTCTTTGATAGTGAAAAAGTCTACAGAAAGGCTGATTTCAAGATTTCAATAACCTGAACTAAATAAAACAACACCTAAATGACTATAAACATATAAAAGCCCCTCCTTTGACTCAACAAGAACCATGGATGCAGAAAGAAAATTCCAGTCTTTCTGGGGAAGTATGGAGATTATTTAAATTCACAAGAAATCCATGTCGCAGGACAATGTGCTCAGAAAGTATCACCTCTTTGACTTTAATCAAAGCTTCTGGAACTTTGAAACACTCCACTGTTTTGGGATCTTACCAGGAAACCTGGATGTGACCAATCGTTTGAAAGAAAAGGTCCTATTTTGCTAGGAAGGAGTCAGATAATTTAGAGGGAGAAAAATTCCTTTAAAACGAGCCAGTGATTTCAATGAACACCTTGGGCTACCGCTGGGCAGCCACCACAAGGAAGCATTTTATATGGAACCTGCCAAGTCTGTGTTTGTTTGTTTGGCTGTAATTTATGACAATGGAGAAGCTAGATAGTGACGTTCCTGGTGCTACAGCAATGGGAAAAGCACTTGTTGCTGATAACCTATGAAACCCAAAGCGTTCCAGGCCATTCCTTTATTAGCAAAGAAACTTCAGACCTGCCTCTCTTGGTATTATTTTCTGAGTTCCACGTCCCAGCAGAGGCGTGGCAGTCGAAGCTTCGCAGACTTTTCCCTCATGGAGCATTTCTGCATATTAAACAGCAGCTTACAAATAGTCAATGAGTCCTCTGCTCCCACGCCTGATCAGCACAAAAAACTGAAAGGGGAGATTGGAGACTGGCAGTTGTCCACACTAGAGACACCCAGCAAAGTGTTTTCTGTCTATTCACTCACGGGAGTGACATGAGCCATTAACATCGGCAGAACTTGTTTTAGCTGGCAAATGCTGGGTATCTGGGAATTGATTTAAAAGGTCAATTCTTTCCAACACAGTTGAATTATATTCAAAATACATTTCTATAAAGTGCTAAAAGAAAAATACCTTAAAAAGGAGATTTCCTGTAGAGTTTAGGACTTACTTCCTTTTCCATGTGTAAAGAATTTGATTAGTGCTAAATATCTCACGAAGAGGCTTTAAATTCAAAGCCAAGTGAAATTTAGGGCTGATCTACCACAAATCGCATAACTCTGCATCTGAAACAGGGCGTGCAGTTTTAGTCTTTCATGTGAGTTTAATATATTTTATTTCTCCCATTAGTATGTAAGTTTCGCCTGCTTCACAGTTGATCGTCAAATAATCTAGGTTTTTAAAAAGCAACGAGTTGTGCACTCATTTCATTTTATAAAATTAAATTTTTGTAAGCAGATTTATTGGTGCCAGTGGCTTTGAACTCCCCGTATCTTCAAAGGTATTTGTAAATAACTGTATAAACTGATATTCTTTTGAATATCAATGTTTGGGGAGAGAAGGAAATATAATTAGGAAAACAAGAACTACAGAGGGGATCGGGAATCAAAAGTTTTCATTTTAGAAAAGAATGACAAATTTACACATACAACAAAGAATGTATCTGTTTTTGGACCTTCTGAGCTATTTTAGAAGTGCATTTTCCATCAAAACACAGACTATTCCAGACAAAATTCAGCAGTAATGAACAATAAGCTCATAGATTGTTTATGTGTCCAAGTAGTTGATTATTTTACCTAATGGGCTGTAACCTAATTATAGCATTTTTGTGACCAATAAATGAAACTGCCTTCATACTTTGAAACTAACTTTCAATTTTCCTAGCTTGTCTCATCAGAACTATGCTCAGTCAACATTTTAGTAAGGAGATAAGCATTCTGACAGAGGCATAAAGAACGGGGGCTGAACGAAACAGACAGCAACTCCCAACTAACAATTAGTAGCGTAAATGTGAAATTCACTGATATTTTCTTTGTTTATAGTGTTACTTCTCTAGTGTAAAGTATGAGATGTTATTTCCATACAGCAAACGGTTAGGTTGTGTCTCTCCTGACAGACTTGTAGACACAGCAGATTGGAGGGCAAGGTGGCAGAAACAGTGTGTGAGGGAACCCTGGGCAGATTTACGAGGGTGTGGGCAGGTCCTCAGGCGGGAGTACAAGATGGAGGATTTTCTTAGCAAACTAAGGGGCCCTTATCACCATGTTGTGTACAGCAGCAAAGGGAGCCAGAAACTGATAACACCTACTAGAGTTTAAGTATTACAAATACAGCTTATGATGATAAGATGGCTATAGGTTAAAAAAAAATGGTAAATAACTTCTCTGTCATGTCCTGGTTAAATCATTTAGTTCAGTATATCCACGAGTGTTGTGTGCTGTTCAGTGTGGTAACCATGGGTCACGGAGGGCTCTTGGATACTTGAAATGTGATTAGTCCAAAGTGAGATGTGCTGTTAGTGTAAAATACACACAGGATTTTAAACAGCATGAAGAATGTAAAATAGTGTATTAATAATTTTTTATAGTGATTACATGTTGAAATGATAATTTTGAACATACTAAGATAAAGAAAATGTCATTTTAAAATTAACCTGGGCTTTAATTTTTAGTTGTTTTTAATACGGTTCTCAGAAAATTTAAAATTACACATAACAGCTTACGTTGTGTTCTATTGGCAAGCTCCTGGAGGAGAGGAACCTCCTGTCATTGCTAAAAAAAGCCTGGTGCCTGGCAGGTGTTGCAAAAATGTTTTTAAAACAGAATGCCTCCTGGGGCGCCTGAGTGGCTCAGTGGGTTAGAGCCTCTGCCTTTGGCTCAGGTCATGATCCCAGGGTCCTGGGATCGAGCCCCGTATCGGGCTCTCTGCTTAGCGGGGAACCTGCTTCCTCCTCTCCCTCCTGCCTGCCTCTCTGACTACTTGTGATCTCTGTCTATCAAATTAAAAAAAAAAAACAAAACAAAAAAAACAGAATGCCTCCTTTTAGAGGGGACATTCCTGACCTGGGTTAAGTTTTAATTTCAATAATGTTATAGATGGTAGCAGAAAAGGAATATAGAAATTTGTTGCCATCCAGACATAGGAACTGAATGTTCTGATAATTTTTAGACAAATCCCTCATTATCTGAACTCTTGCTACCTATCAGCCAACTCAGAAGCCAAACAGGTACGCATAGCAAGGGATACTTGTATATAACTAAGTTTGAAACAATAAGAACTATGAGATGACCTATACAAGCAAAACTATGTGTGTACCCTTCCTGATGCTACCCCTTAGAATTACTATCCTCAATTTAATGTCTGTCATTCCCTTACTTTCTTTTTTAAATAGTTTTCCATGTGTGTATCCCTAAATAGTGTATTGCTTTCTCTAGTATGATCTTGAGCTTTATAAAAAATGCTACATAGTTTGTGGTCTTTTTTTTTTTTTTCTTTTAAAGTTTTTTTTTATTGGGTGCCTGGGTGGCTCAGCCGGTTAGGCATCTATCTTTGGCTCAGGTCATGATCCCAAGGTCCTGGGATGGAGGCCCATGTTGCGGGGGGAGGGGGAGGTCCCTGCTCAGTGAGAGCCTGCTTCTTCCTCTTCTCTCTGTTCATGCTCTCTTGCACTCTCTCTCAAATAAATAAAATCTTTCATTTACTTATTTGACAGAGAGAGAAAGAGAAAGAGAAAGAGTGTGTGTGCAAGCTGGGGGAGGGACAGAGGCAGACAGAGAAGCAGACACCCTACTGAGCAGGGAGCCAGATGTAGAGCTCAATCCCAGGACCCCAGGATCATGACCCGAGCTAAAGGCAGACAGACGCTCAATCGCTCCACCGACTGAACCACCCAGATGCCCCAGTTTGTAGTCTCTTAAAAACTGAAAACATTACTTCATCAATTCTAATTCAACATATCTTACCAAAACAATGTAACATTTTTAGCCAGAAATTTAGACACTCATTATTCTCTGTGGCCAACAGACTTGAACATGTTTGGAAGTTATAAAAAGTGGGCAAACGAAGGAGTCACTAAACCAATGAGAAATTTTCTTTAAACATATATGCACCTGACAAGGATTTTAAACTTAACCTGCGATTACCTCAATAATATAGAGGACTATATTCTTGTAGAAGCAGTACAAAATGCACTTGGAGACTCTGTTATAGTTCCAGGCACCATGCACCATCAATAAATTCTTCAAGTACTTGAACTAAAATAAAAGTAGAAAAGAAGCCGTAAGGAAAAGAACGAGTATTTTTCTCTTCATACTGTCAACTGAGACTCATGCTGTGTTCGGCGGAAAGGCTGCTTTACCTGAGCTATGGAGTAATCAGAAGAATTAGCTGCCTGAAGGCCTTCGTTGCCACTTATCCCGACCCCGACGTGCGCTGTCTGTATCATGCTGACGTCGTTGGCTCCGTCGCCAATTGCAAGCGTTATGACTTTGACTTGTTTCTTAACCATCTCAACAACTTCAGATTTTTGAAGAGGAGAAACCCTTAAATTAGAACAGATTGTCAGTTACCTCCACTCTGGGGGAAAAAAAAAAAAAGAATTTTGAAATATCTATGTCTTGAAGGACAAAAGAAGCAGAAGATCCAAAAGAAGAGTTCCATGAAATACCATTCTGGAAGTCTTAGGTTTGCAAATGTTCAGTTCTCTGTTAACCTGGTTGCCACTTTAAGGAAAAAGTCTAAGAACTAAACCTCTAGGTGATAGGTAGGAGCCACAAGGCCCTGTTAACCATATTTTCCCAGAATGGTTGTATTAATTTGTTAAAAAATTAACATTGGAGTTTAGAAATTCTAAATCCTATACTGTACCTGGAAGATAAAAGTTTTGAGCCTCTGTAAGCAGATCTTAAAGAATGTACTAGATCTACATTTAAAACAACTTTGAGGGGTGCCTGGGTGGCTCAGTGGGTAAAAGCCTCTGCCTTTGGCTCAGGTCATGATCCCAGGGTCCTGGGATTGAGCCCCATATCGGGCTCTCTGCTCAGCGGGAAGCCTGCTTCCTCCTCTCTCTCTCTGCCTGCCTCTCTGCCTACTTGTGATCTCTGTCTGTCAAATAGATAAAATCTTAAAAAAAAAAAAAACTTAGAACTCAAATTAAGAGTATGGAATTGGCTAACCTCTTGACTTGTTCTCAAACACTGTGACGAATTGACCCAAATAAATGCCAAATGCCTGATTGCATAGTCCATGTGCCTCAATTTTCTTCCAAAGGTACTAAGGGCCAAGTGGGATCAAGCAATCTTTTATACAGACATGGAGCAGGAACAGAGGACACCAGCATCTGTACTAAAATCATAGTTGGTATTAATGCTGGATCAGTGTATCACAGAACTTTAAAAGCCACTTCGGAAGTAAACCCCATGACAATGAGGGAAGGAAGGGTTCAAAGACAGCATGCCTCAGCACCATCACTGTATCACCCACAACTATGGGCAATTAAAAGTGGAAAACTAAACAGTAACTGAGTCAGTGAACTATGAAGACAGTAATTAGATACGAAGAAACAAGTAACACACACCATGTCAGCGGTCAAGAAAAATAACTCATTAAGTTCTTTATCAAGGTGGAGCAGAACAGGTGTTTAACACATATCTGCTGGAACGTCTGGTAGGTCATTTATTACTCTGCATAAGAATGGAGAACATTACTCTGAAAGACGCCATCTTGCAGTTTTCCTGAGTATTTCCTTAGGAATAATTCCTAGCACGGACATGCACACATAGGATGCCCTCTTGCTCTTTTGAAAGCCTTCCATCAGGGCAGCCCAGGTTTCACTGCAGGTCTGAGAATCATTACAGGAAACCATGAGTTTCTTGCAGAGTGAACCAGTCTCTTCATCTTTATATTGCTGATGTTGATCCAGAATAGGTACTCAATAAATGGTTGCTATATGCAAGAATTATGTTTAATTCTTTCTTTGAATTCCCTTCCAGAGTCTGGCAACAGCACAAAATGACCCAACTGTGAGCACAGCGAGTGAATGGGTTGAGTAGCAGCCATTATGGTCTTTTTCATGGTTGGCCTCCATCTTTCTTTGACGCAATTTTCCTTTCATCTTCACATTTTATTTAATTTCTCTTAACAGGCTAATATATTGGTAAGCCCACTGGCTCTAGGCCAATGTGTTAAACATGGACTCCAGCTAACATTTAGTAAATGTCAAAAAAGAATGCTCACCAAGAAATGATCTAAACAGCAAATGCAGTGGACATGAAAAGAGAGAAGGATTTGAAAACATTCATCAAATTCCCTTCACAATTTAACAAGCTCACAATGTAAAAAAATTGTGAGGTCACACCATGGGATCGATGGAGCTAGAAAACAGTGGTATTCCCCCCACCCCCACACCTTTTGGCTGAATGTATAATAAAGGAGAAATCTCTGCATGGTGAGCTAATAGTAGTGATTTAAAGAAACATCGGAAAAGAGCTGGACTCAGCTCTGTTTTCTTTCTTCATGGCTATTACAACCAACCACTATTTTCTCTGCCTGACACTACAATTTTCAATGCCCTCAAATTAAAATTGGCTGAGGACCTTTATCAACTTCATGTGTGTGGTTAACTCAGGTGTTAAAAGTGGAGTATTAATTCCCTTGGCAAGAGCAATGTGTGTGTGTGCGTGTGTGTGTGTGTTGCGTGCCATGCTTTAAAGATGATGATACAGTGGGAGGCCTCCCCAGAGTTACTGCAACTGTTACTAGCAGGAGCATCTATAAGCTAACAGCAGACAATGGGCTTAGGAGAAGATTTGAGAAACAGTGGAAGCCTTCATATCTGATGTGTTTGACATAGCAGTTGGTTGCTTAAAAAAAGATGTCTGACTTAGGTGGGGATTCATAAAAAGTAAAATATACATACAGAAAACATTTAACTCATAAACATACAAACTTGTGATGTAGAGCTAAGAACCTGTTTTGCACAGGGGCTTGATGTTTGAGATTCTGATTATTTTCTGGTGGTAGAAATCTCAGTCATGAGCCACAGTCCATGGCTGGATCCAGTCAAGTGGAAATCAGAATAGAATGATGCCTCACCTGAGTTTACTGTTCTCCTACCCATTCTAGATTATACAGCATTTTTTTTTTTAACAACTCAAAAGTATCCCTAGAGCCTCATATCTGGTTTTCCTAAAAACAATTTTGACTGATGCTTAGTAAGCACCAAGTCAACTCATGAAAAGTGTCCTTCCAGCTCTGGGCATGATGTGCTGTGGGCCCCAATAGCTTGTCTTAGGGCGAGAATGTATTTGAAGGGAACTCAGGTTAATCAAACTGAAATCAGTTAAAAAGATCTACTGTTGGGGCGCCAGGGTGGCTCAGTGGGTTAAAGCCTCTGCCTTTGGCTCAGGTCATGATCCCAGGGTCCTGGGATCAAGCTCTGCATCAGGCTCTCTGCTCAGCAGGGAGCCTGCTTCCCTTCCTCTCTCTCTGCCTGCCTCTCTGCCTACTTGTGATCTCTGCCTGCCAAATAAATAAATAAAACCTTTAAAAAAAATACTGTTTTTATAGCATCCATTTAAAAACATTTTCCCTTGCTATAAGGAGGTTACAAGATCACAAAAACAAACTTGTAAGACATTAGGAATCAGTGTAGCATAAATCTACTTGACTTAATTGCCAGTACTTAATAATTTCAGAGGATGTGGAAATCAGAATGGGCCAAAAGAGGGTTCCTTGACAGTTAGAATTTGACTTGACCTTGACAATGTGAGGAGAGCTCATGTCAGGCAAAGGGAATAGCATATACTAAATTTCTTCACATTCAAAATGAGCTAGAATATATTCTTTCTACCGTTGTCCTTCTATCTAATAAAAGGTCACTATCTGTATTCACACATTAGAGTTTATTTACTTTCTTGACTTTTGTACACATGCATCTATATTTGTACAATTTCCAGAATGGTCTAGAATGACCTGACTACATGCTAATTCTTCCAAATGTCTATCAAAAACATCACATGTTCGTGGTTGTGAATACCTAAAACCTAAGTTTTACAAATGTCAATAGGGACCTGAGGCATAATTCAGAAACATCATAAAAGCACTGCTTTCTAGTCTAGATTTTTCTTCTTCTTTTTTTTAACCATGGGTCTACATCAGGACTTAAATTATACATAGTTCTCTTCTTCTCTACTGTGGCTCTTTCATCTCTAAGAGAAATCTGAGGCTCTGTGGAAAAAGACTACATACCCAGCACACACTATGAAGGTCCAGTTTTCTTCCTGTGGCTCCACAAACAGAAGGTGGGACTTTGCAATGCAAACTAGCAATGCACTGAGTGCAGAAATGCTTCTCAGTCAATTGGCTATAGTTTCTGCACCTGCTTTTCATTAGTTTTCTTATTCGCTCTGTAGTAACTCTCATTGCCCTATGAACGTTAGATCAGAGTACTGGAAATTTTTACCACTTAAGCTGAAATTATACAGGGGAGCCCATCTCAGCTGAGCCTCATTTTGTACTCTTTTCATGGGATCAGCTAAATGAATCACTTTTTAATAAAAATATTTTATTTACTTATTTGACAGAGAGAGAGAGAGAGAGAGAGAGAGCACAAGTAGGCAGAGAGGCAGGCAGAGAGAGAGGGGGAAGCAGGCTCCCTGCTAAGCAGAAAGCCCAATGCGGGGCTCGATCCCAGGACCCTGAGATCATGACCTGAGCCGAAGGTAGTCGCTTAACCAACTGAGCCACCAGGCGCCCCCATAAATCACTTTTTTTAAAAATATATTTTTATATATTTATTTATCTGACAGAGAGAGAGAGATCACAAGTAGGCAGAGGGGCAGACAGAGAGAGGGAGAAGCAGGCTCCCTGCCGAGCAGAGAGCCCGATGCGGGACTCGATCCCAGGACCCTAAGATCATGACCTGAGCTGAAGGCAGAGGCTTAACCCACTGAGCCACCCAGGCGCCCCGAATCACCTTTTTTAATGGAATAAGTATAAAGATGATACATGCAGACACATAATAAAGGATATTTTAGGGGACTTTCTATAGGTAGCCAAAAGGAGTACAATAATTTATCTTATTGTATTGTGTTTCTAGATTGGCAACCTAAAACATATCTCATCATATATACTAGAAATCATGTTGGTAATATATCCTCTCAAAAACATACTGTAGACTTAATAGTTACTATAAAGTTGTCATTTTTTCCTAGACTAGGAAAAAATGTAAAAACATGGAGGATTAGAGTGTTTCTTAACCATCCTGAAGTGTTTTTTATAGTGAGCCTGTGTGTCTAGAGCCCCCTGTATTTACTAAGTTGAGGGCTGTTCCTAGTGACTATTTAGAGGTTAGGATCGTTAGTCCGGGGCTCTGCTGTATTTCCCTTTGTAACACACTTCCTAAGATTTCTCCTTGCAAATACCAGTTTATTTGTTCTCCCCGAGTCACATTCTGTTGACTAATAAAACAAAAATCATAAAAAGAGAAAAAAAACCCCCAAGACAAAAACTTTTGAGATCCTGATTCTTCTTCGAGCCAAAA